CTAATTCTTAAACCGTGCATGGGCATGGTGAGATGCAGAGAAATCAAATATCAGTCAGCTACTAAAAGTCTAAAATACTATGTAAAATTTTCAGTTATTTCACGGATGTTTGGATCCACCACAGAAAAGATATTTGAAATAGGTAAACCCTAGGAGAAAGAAAAGTTTTGCAAATACAGCACTTTCCCAATACTCTTTTATATAAAAGCAAAATTACATCTTTTCTGGTGTGAATAACATAATTTAAATTCACATTATTTTTCATACATTCTGCTGATATTAAATCAAAATTTAACATAAAATTCATAAAGCAAAATAAAATCACCTTAACCAAGAGAAAAAATTGAAAGCCTTACAAATGATAAAGATATCTGTTATTAAACGTCTCTGAAATACACATGAATAATATATTCAAAACTCAACTAAAAGATGAAAACATTGACAAAATTTCTATAATTAATTTGAAAATTGAGTGTAGCTATTAGCACTAAGATTTGAGAAACTGGAAAAAGTATCAATAGAAAATAGTAGATTGGAGAAGGGAAAAAATAAAATTCTATAAAAGAGTAGAGGTGACCTAATCGACTTGAACAAAATATCAAACATACTTGTAATTGCAGCAGGTGAAAATGGAGACAGATCCAATATTTAAATATTAACCAATAGTTTTCCATAAGTAAGTAAAGATTCCATTCACAGATTCAGGAAACTTTCAGACCCCCAAAGGAACAAACAAATAAAAACCTAGGCTGATCAGAGAAAACTATACAATACCAAACACAATGTGAAAAAACTGCCAAAGATTTATGTTAAGAAACCTGTACATGGATTATATCATCCAGTGTCTCTTATTATTTTTTAAGTATAGATATTGAATAAGTTTGGTGATGGGATACAACACAGACCCACGTATTTCCTGATTTTAAACCAGGCAGTATTTCTTTGTTCTGTTTGCACAATGCTTCTTGATTTATGTACAAATTCCACATGGACACAATAAAGGGTTCTTGAATTCCTATTATTCTCAAGGCTATCCATAGTTTGTTAGGATCTCCACAGTTGAATGCCTTGCATAGTTAATAAAAAAATAATCATCTTTTCTCTAGACTCTGCTTTCAGCCAAGATCCATCTGACATCATCAATGATATCCCCTGTTCCACATCCTCTTCTGAATCTGTCTGACCCTCTGGAAACCCAATGTCACTGTTCTGCTACAACCTTTATTGGATGATTTTCAAAAAAAAGTTACTTGAATGTTTTATCACTATTATGTGTGCTTTCAGTTGATCGCCTTTCTGGGAACAAATTTGAATCTAAATAGACAGATGACTAAGTAATTTTATTCCAAATTCCCTAGCATATATAGGACGAGTAAGTGCTTCTAGTGCTTCATAAGCTTGTTGAAACATTTCAACTGATATTCCATCAATTCCTGGAGCCTTGTTTTGGCTCATGCTTTCAGTGCAGCTTGAATTTCTTCCTTCAGAACCTTCGGTTCTTGCCAGTATGCTACTTCCTGAAATGCGCAAATGTTGACTAGTTCTTTCTGATAATGTGGCTGCGTATTCTTTTCATTTTCTTTTAATGCTTCCCGCATCACGCAATATTTTGCCCATTGTGTCAGGCAGGGTTCTCTAGAAGGATAGGTTTATATAGAGAGAAGGAATATAACAGCTAATTAGTCCAAGAGCAGTACAGTGGGCTAATTTCAATTCACTTTCATGGAATAGTTAATATACTGAAGGTCCCTCAACTCACACTGGTTGCCAGCCCAAGGTCACAGAAGCAGGTACCGGAATGTTCCCTCAGGCAACACAGGCAGAGTCTGCCCTCATGCAGCAGACCGAAGGATGGGTCAGAAACAGTCAGTAGTAGCAGGGGAGCTGGATGGAATCTTGAACTCAAGGGATACAATGCATTGACAGCATCCACCAACCTCAAGTTCAAGTGATGTATGTGCCAGCAGCATGGCGAAGCAGTTCTTGAAGGAGCCTCAAGCCCTGTCGACAGGATCTATGGGTTAGCGTGGCCCACAGATGGATCAGCACACAGTAGAGGCAAAGAACTAGCTGAAGTAGCAGCACACAGGTCCAATCACCAGGGAGGAAGAGAGAAGGGGGCGGGCCTTGGAAAGCCATTTATCTCATTGCACTTCAATCGAGCTGTGACCTGGTTAAACTCCACCCACATGTTACTATTGGCCTAGTTGCCACAATGACCCTATCACACCCACAGAGTCAACTATTAGAAGGGCAGGTAGTTGGTTAGTAGTTTAAACCATGAAAGACATTATATATATATATATATATTTTTTTTTTTAAAGAGTGCTCTTTGGCATTTGGATGGTGATGGAAACAAAAGCAAATACTACAGGGAGTATTATGCACCTGCAGGGGGAAACAAACAAACAAACATAAAATTGGTAGTGAATCCATCCAGCCCCACCCCCTGCCCCCCATCAAAAGCAATTAGACAACAACTACAACAAAAATAATCTATTCATCGTATCTGGGTTTTGCTATCCAGACAGAAGAGGGTGTCATCGAAATAAGAATTTTGGAAAGCACCTTAAAAGTAAATAAGACAATCTGGGTACTATGGCACCTCACAACACTAGTTGCCACATGCAACAGCTAAGGAAACGCTCCTCAAATAACAATCATGAAGCAACGGAAATCACAAGATAATACCCCAAAGAGTTGTTTACTAACACAAGATTTTGAGAAAAAGAAAATGACATTGATTAGAAATTCAGAAACCAAGAAGGGATTTAGACAAATAAAAAAAAGCTATGCTGCAAGAGAAACTAAAGGATTTCTTAAATTTGGTAACGACATAGAAACAAAAGCAAGGTGACCAAGAAGGGACACACTAAAAATTAATAAGTTACAAGGTAATTTTAAAATAATAAGATGAAATAAAGAGATGTCAAAAGGTCAGAGAAAAAGGTTTGGGGATAGATGGTGAGCAAGCTAAGGTTAACACATTTAATTAGAATTCATAAAGATGAAAGTCAAATCAATGGAACAGAACCAATATCTAACCTCATAATAGCAAAAACAAAGGCAACTTATGAGACAGGAAAACACCTGAAATTGCATTTTGAAGACACATCAAGACATCAGAGAACTACTTAGAAACAATGCCTAATGTGAACAAATACATTTAATAACAAACAGAGGTTTTCTTATTAAAAGATAAAAAAATCAAGAGGCCTCCAACAACAGCAGCAAAAGAGATTAAATAAATCATAGTGGAAAAGGAATTGGGCTGAAATCGCACTGCTTACAGGCTACATACAAAACTAGTCAACAGTAAAATAACCTATTACAAAGAAAACATGAAAGCATGAACCAAGAATGTTATCTAGCCAATCAGTCCTTCAGGCTTCAAGTCAATATAAAATAGAGTTTTCAAAATATAAAAACATATTGAAAAACTCCACTTCAGGAGGATGTTCTTCTTGTGAGATTGTCACAGGAAAACTTCACCTAACAGACTTAAGGTGAGTGTTTTATATATATTGGTATAGCTATAGCATCTAAGATTAAAACAAAGATTTTGTCAGTCTTAGGTGTTCAAGAAAAATGTTTAAAATTATTCTACAAGTATGTGTTATGGCCTAACTAAAAAGCATGCAACCACAAATCATAGAACATAGGAGAGGGATCGAAAAATCTGTTGACCATTGTGTGTTGGAAGAAGGGTGGAGTCAACCCTGTTTAATTAATCTTGACATTGACACAAGACTAAAACTCTTACCTTTTAAATATTGACTTTTCTATGAGCATCATCACTTAAAATAGTTTTATCCAAAGTCTATTGTGACATTTCTTGTAGTCATTTGTCTGTCTTCTGCCATCGGACTATAACCTCCACAAAATAGTACCCTTTCTACTTGATAAGTGTCAAAGTCAACTATCTCCAACATATATCAAATAGTCTAGGTATATCTGATAAATTATGACATTGCAAAGCTGTTGAATTGTTTTAAGATTATGTCTTTTTATTTAATATGTATACTTACAGCTGTTTCTGAGTCGCCAAAACTCGAGTTGGAAAACTCAGACTTACCTCCTATATCTGGGCGAAGTTTGTTGTCATAACCTTGAAGTAATGAATTGAGAATCTGAGTGATGTCTCCTTCGTGAATCTTTGGTGCCAACACCCAAGTTTTGTTCACAGTTAAATCCTCATCATCTTCATCATCTGCTTTATCAACACTAAATAATTCAAAGAAAATATGGATGTTAGATGATATAGCCAAATCACATATGTAGAGAATTTTGTTTAAGCTTATCATAACATAGTAAGGGGAAAATAAGCATTGCAATATGACATTACACTTGATGCAACTAATATATTTAATGTATGATTTATGCTAGTTTTAAAACATTTAGCAATTAAGAACCCAAAGCAAGAAACAAATGCACTGATATTAAAATGATAAATAAATCTTAACTACCCAAGAATGACCACTGAGGGCCACATGGACTATAACACTGATCATGTCGTGGCTTTGTTTAGTTGATAGCCTGCACAATGTAAGTGAATGTCCTCAAATACCAGACCCCAAAGTTAAAGAAGTATCACAGGGAAAATTCTAACGAATAGCCTAGCTGAATTTATAAAAGGATACATATGTATATATATATATATGCATATATAACTGGATAAATAAAAGTTCAAAGGAAAAAATATATATAATATTTAGCTACTTCTTTCCCACTAAGAAGAGCACAGACAACTTATCCAAAGAATTCTGAAGGACTGCTTTATTATCAGACCAAGAGTTGGCGCCTCACATGCCTCATAGCAGTTTTGTTTTGTTTTTTGTATGACTAGCAAATTTCAGGCCTGGATGAGAGAAAATAAAGGTGTAATAAATTGATGGTTTTATTGTGCATGTATCAAAAAAAAAGAAGCAAGCAAGCATGGCAGTCACAAGCCAAAGCACCCACCTATTCATTAAGCTTGCTTAGTACACATGATCTTACCTATTATTATGTAACTATGACACTCAGACCCTAACTCCCCAGCTTCAGATGCCTCCGATACCTGCATGCCTAACCAATGTCAATATGCAGCACACCTGAATTGTAATCAGAAATTAAACTCATTGCCATCCAGCTGATTCCAGCTCAGAGTTGACTGTACAGGAGAGGGTCAAACTGCCCCTGTGGGTTTCTGAGACTTTGTGGGAGTAGGAAGCTTCATATTTTACAATTCTGGTTTCAATCTGCCAACCTTCTGGTTAGCATCTCAACAGGTAAGTATGATAAATGCTCATCTGCATTCATCAAAAGTAAAAATCTACATCTTTTTTCATTCATCTGAGTAAGATGAGCTTGAACTTTAAAAAACATATTTTAATAACCTTTTACACTTCAGTGAAAAATAGTCCAAAATATTATAAAATGTAACTCATAAAATGAGGTAAATCCATTAAATAGTAGGTTACTTTCATATATTTTGGAGATGGAAAATCCCCACCACTTATTTTAATACCTTAAGCTGATCTTTCTACACTCACTTAGATGTATTTTCCATTGCAACCAAACAATTTTACTTTGGGCCTATCAACTTCTCTTCATACAATGAACAGATAACAACCTAAAGTACCTAATATTTCATTTAATCTTCAATAAACTCTAGTAATAGATCGTTGTCAATATTTCACCAGTCATTCATGTAAAAGGATTATTTTATTAACACACCAAATTCTATTAAAAATATAAGCCAAACCTGTAGAGCTCCTTCCAGTCAAAGGAACATAGATTTCAGGTGTGCTGACTTGTGACTTATTTTGGAGAATGGGGGATGAGCAGAAGTGGCATATGTCATCGACTGAGGAGAATGTGTGTTATTGTTTGGTTTGCCATGCTTCATTTGCCCGTCTACTAGAAGTACAGGTATACTCAGAAAGAGTTATACCATTATTTCATTTTCAGAGGGAAGGTGATATGGAGAAAGGCCATGATTGATCAACAGTGTATAGTCAGCACGAGTGACAAATATAAATTCTGTGGAATAAACCACTGAGATTTGGACTTGGGTGAACACCACAGCACGATCTACTGCATTCTAATATTTACTCACTTCATGGTCAAGTTAATGTTTACTTAGCTTTAAAGAAATTAGTTTGCCAGAGACAAGGGAACAACAAATGATCCAAAATCAGTGGCAAGGAGGGTGTAAGAGGCCTGGTAGGGCTTGATCAAGGGCAATGTAACCAAGAAGAATTACTGAAACCCAAATGAAGGCTGAGCATGATAGTGGGACAAGAGGAAAGTAAAAGGAAACAGAGGAAAGAACTAGGAGGCAAAGGGCATTTATAGAGGTTTAAATACAGGCATGTACATATGTAAATATATTTATATATGATTATGGGGAAATATATCTATGTGCATATACTTATAGGTTTAGTATTAAGGTCTCAGGTGGACATTGGGCCTCCACTCAAGTACTCCCTCAATGCAAGAACACTTTGTTCTATTAAACTGGCATTCCATAATGCTCACCTTCCCGACAGGATCACTGAAGACAAAGTGGGTGCATAAGCAAATGTGGTGAAGAAAGCTGATGGTGCTCAGTTATAGAAAGATATAGCATCTGGAGTCTTAAAGGCTTCAAGATAAACAAGCAGCCATCTAGCTGAGAAGCAACAAAGCCCACATGGAGGAAGCACACCAGCCTGTGTGACCACAAGGTGTCAAAGGGATCAGGTATCAGGCAGGCATAAAAGAACACAAAATCATATCATTGTGAATGAGGGGGGAGTGCAAAGTGGGGACTCAAAACCTTTTTGTAGGCAACTGGACATCCCCTTACAGAAGGGTCACGGGGAGGAGATGAGCCAGGCAGTGTGCAGTGTAGCAATGAGGAAACATACAACTTTCCTCTAGTTCTTTCATGCTTCCTCCCCTCGACTATCATGATACCTATTCTACCTTAAAAATCCAGCTAGAGTAGAGAATGTACACTGGTACAGATAGGAACTGAAAACACAGGGAATCCAGGACAGATGAACCCTTCAGGACCAGTGGTGAGAGTGGTGATACCGGGAGGGTGGAGAGAAGGTGGGGTAGAAAGGTGGAACCGATTATAAGGATCTACATATAAACCCCTCCCTGGGGGATGGACAACAGAAAAGTGGGTGAACGGACATGTCGGATAGTGTAAGACATGCCAAAATAATAATAATTTACAAATTATCAAGGATTCATGAGGGCGGGGAAAATGAGGAGCTGATACCAAGGGCTCAAGTAGAAAGCAAATGTTTTGAGAATGATGATGGCAACAAATGTACAAATGTGCTTGACACAATGGATATATGTATGGATTGTGATAAAAGTTGTATGATTCCCCAATAAATTGATTTGAAAAAAAAGTAAGATGCAAAATTTCATTAGGCTACCAAGATATGCTGAAATTAAGTAGGTATAAATGATGCCATTGGTTCAGGTAGTCAATATCATAAGTGCATGAGACTGCACCATCATTTACATGCAAATGGAATTGGTCTTAAAAATGAAATTAAAAGAGGGAAAGGAAAAAAAATTTCGTTTTAGAGTTGCTAAATCAGTCATGCCCCTGACCATGGATGGCCCTTTCAACTAGTCACATAATCATAGGGAAATATATTTCAAAAACTTTTATCCTCCACAAATCAAGATGTAATTCTAGTAAATACACTGGCCTTGCGATACAACCTTAACAAAGTACAGTACTCTATTGTACTCAGAGTTTATCTCTTAGTCACTAAACTCCATAGTCCTTCCACCACTATTGTTTTCCGCTATGTTACGGATGAGAAAACCGTCTGATAAGAGTAAATTAACTTGACCAAGGTAACATTGACAATGAGGTCGGTCATGTGTTCTGACAGCAGCACACTGCACAATGAGAACAGTATAACAATTGAACATGAAGTTGAAGATGAAAGTGAAAGCACTAATATTTACTAGAAAAAGAAAAAACATACTGCTATCGAGGCAATGCTGACTCATGGTGACCCCGTCGGACAAAGCAGAACTGTCCCAGTGAGTTTCCAAGACTGCAGCTCTTTAAAGGACTAGCAAAGCCCCATCTTTCTCCCTCTGCTGGTTTTGAACTTCTGACTTTCTAATTAAGAGCCCAGAGAGTAACCACTATACTACCTGAGTTCCTTAATATTTACTAATAATGCACTACCAGTAATTACATTAAAGTATACAAATATTCACTTTTACTCATATATGAACTTCTGGCATACATCGAGCTAATATATACATATATATTAAATTAAATGCTCTCATATTGTTTTTGTTTAGCTAACTTAAAGTTATATTCTGAATACTGCAATATGATGGGGTTAAAAATTCATTAAAAACACATTACCTTTGGATTCCACTTGTTCACACATCATTTGAAGTATCCTTAAATATCTATATAATTCCCTTCCAATAATTTTCTATATCTATTTAAAATATATAAATAAATAAATTACAACATTGAAAATACTTAAGTATTAAGAATCATTGCTAGTGGGTCTTCCAGGAATTTTTTCTTATATAATTAAATCTCTTAAATAGGGATAATAACCAAATGTTATATATACATTGAATTCTACATTGAAGTTGCATAGGATAAAGCGCTTCCTAACTGAGTTATAATCAATTAAGTTGGCCGTTCTAACCATAATTCCTTATGTGGAATATTATACTTTGGGATGCTATATACCTGTGCCTATAATTCCATTTGTGAGGGTGCTTATGCTACACCAGTGGACAGGTTTAGGGGGCATATTAACACCTGAGTTTAGTGGAGGTGTGACCCAAGCCAGACCCTGTTTCCCATTGGGGCATTGTTCTACTTTGCTAGAGGATGTGACTTAAGCCACCATCTTACTTCAATGGTCAGCTAAAAGATAAATTACACATCCATCAAAGCCATTCCTCAATACATAAGATCCATCTGGGACACAGAAAAGGGACAGAAGCATTTGGAAGAGCATGTACAAGATCTATGTCTGAAGTAGCAGAGACCCCTGAGACCAGATACCTAAGAAACTGTGGTACAGAGACTCAGAGGAGCACCACCAAGACTACGGGGTATCTTAATCTTCTCTGATCAAGAAGATGAAACTGTGGACAAGAGCAGCATGTGGGCTGGCTTTCTGGGGCATGGAGGCAAAGGTCAAATGACTGAGAGACTGGGGACCAGAGACAGACTTGGCTTCTGG